GCAGGACCCGGCAGGCTGTGCCCTTTCATGTCTGGCTCAGTCCACTGAGCACAAAGTCCTCAAGATTCCCCCACGCTGTAGCAGAGGCCAGAACGTCCCTCCCATTTAAGGTGGAATCACATCGTCTCCTGTGTGCACACCACGGTCTGTGGATCCACCCGTCCGGCGATGGTACCTCGGCTGTTTCCACGATGCCGCTGTGAACGCAGGTGCATGGATGTCCGTTCAGGTTCCTGCTTTCAGTTCCTTTGGGTCCACAGCCAGGAGGGGAACCTCTGAGTCAGGCGGCAGCTCTGTTTAATCTTTTGAGGAATCGCCAGGCTGTTTTCCACAAGGGCTGCATGTTTTCCGTTTTCACCAGCAGTGCACAAGTGCTGCTATTTCCACCTCCTCGCCGACACTTGTGATTGTCTGGGTTTTTTTAACAGCCGTTCGGATGCGTAAGAAGTGGCATCTCTTGTGGTTTTCATTTGTGTTTCCCTGATAACCAGTGCAGCTGAGCATCTTTCCACGTGATTACTGGCCATTCATATGTCTTCTTTGGAGAGATGGCTATTTCAGACCTTTGCCCATTTTTTAGTGGTTGGATTTTGTTGCGGTTGTTGAGTTCTGGGAGTTCTTTATATATTGTGGATATCAATCCGTCATCAGGTGTATGAGTCGCAGGCACTTCCTCCCATCCGTGCGTTGCCTTTTGACAGTGTCCTTTGATGCCCTGTTTGTAGTCACCCCTTTAATCACTACACTGGGCCAAGAGCTAACCCCATGGACACACCTCTGGAGTGCCAGCCCAGGCCTGTTTGGGGCCACAGCCCTGCTCACGGGGACAGAGGCAAGGTGGGGGGGGGAGGGCAGGGGAGCCAGAGGCCAGGCGGGCCCTGCTCACAGGGCGCAGGAGGGCAGCCTGGGCGCGGGGTGGCCACCAGGGCCCCGGGGCAGAGCTGGCCTGTGCTCGCAGCCGCCAGTGGGCGAAGGGCGTCTCGTGGCCACCGACAGGGATCCCTTCGTGCTTGTTTGCCACATGAGCTGGCACGTACGGGGTGGGCAGAGAGGGCCCACCCAGGGCATCGGGGGCCAGGGGGCCGGGGCCCCACCCTGCTGCCTGACACCAGGCCCTGGCTCTCGGGAGCTAAAGCCTCTATTTGAAGAAAAGTTTGATGTGTAAAGGGAGCTGGTGCCTCAGAACCTGTGATGCCCCCTTGCCCGGCCCCAGCCCCAGAAAAGAAGCTGAGATGAATGTTCAGCAGCGAAGAAGGGAAGCCAGGGATGCGCCGGGGGTGGTTTAAGCTGCAGCAGGAATCCTCCCCCAGCTCCCACAGGGGCCCGTACACAACACACACACTCACAGACAACACTCACACACCTGCACATCCGCGAGCCTGGGCGCTGGGCACTCACACACGTGCAGGCGGCTGCCACTCCGGGAGGCGCTTAAGCGGCAGGGGGGCGGAGCGTGCCTGGAAGCTACGGGCTCTCCCACACCAGCTGCCTCTGTCCTGGATGGAGGCGCCCGCCTCCCATGCGGGCGGAGCCCAGAGCCTCACTCCCCCCAGGAAAGGCCTGATTCATCCAGAGAGCGCGACCCCGCGCAGAGACTATGCTGGCTTCCTGCACGAAGGCGTGAGCCACGCGCACAGCCACGTAGAGGCACTCGCGTGCGTCAGGCAGGCGGGGGCTCTGCCCGCTCACAGAGGGTGATGGGGGGCCAGCCCCCTACACACGCAGGAGTCGGGGCTGGATAGGGGGCGCGGTGGGCGGAACCTGAGCTCGGCTCCGGCCTCGTCCCCCGCGTGCCCCTGGTCCCCTGGTCCAGCTCAGGATGGAGCAGCGTGCTTCAGGCCTGCACCCCTGAGCTGTGCCTTCAGGCGCACAGCCGTCCTCCACCGGAGTCACTCCCAAGGCTGGCGCCCGGCCCTCCCCGTCTCAGCAGTCGGCACCGCGCCACACACACAGTGGACAGCACACACGCACACGCACACTCACTCACACACACACTCAGACACACTCACTCAGACAACACGCACACACACACTCAGACACACACACTCAGACACTCACACACACACACACTAGACACACACACAGACACACACGCTAGATGCACGTGAACACACACAAACCCACGCATAGACACTAGACACACAGACACGCACACTAGACCTACTCAGACACACAGACACAGCACAAACACACCCCCTTGCATGTTCCAAGCGAGAGGCCTGCACTTCACTCCTCCAGGTGTGACCCTGGGAGGCTGCAGGCCCCGCGCCCACCAGCACAACCACGCAGCCTCCCGGAGGGCCTGACGCCCGATCACGGTGGAGGTGGGGAGATGCTGGGGGCCGGTCCCCTGACCAGGGAAGCCAGTCTCCCTGCCCCGCCCCAGCCTCTCCAAGGGCACGGGGCAGGGCTGCCCATGAGGGCTGGCCTCCCCAGAGCCCCTCAGCCCCGGGCCCATGTGCACCCGCCCAGGGCAGCAGCAGGCAGGCAGAGGCGGAGGCCGCCCATGGGCACTGCTGAGACCCTGGTAGAGGCCCTGCCGCGCCCTCACCCGCCTCTTCCCGGGGCAGCCTGGGGCTGACCCTGTGGTGCCCACCCTCCCCAGGCCCAGGGCGGGCCTGACCAGGCTGCGTCCCTCAGCAGATGGACAGGCTGGCGGGTGGTCCTCACATTCCCTTGGCCAGGCAGGCCCTGCCAGCCCAGCAGGAGGCCCCTCCTGGAAGTGACGGAAGTGACACGCTGCTGTCCACTGGCCCTGAGAAGCAGGGCCTGGCCCCTGCTTCTAGAACCTTCTGCTCAGGGCCTGTTTCAAGGGCAGCCTGACCCAGGCCACAGAGACATGGAGGTGGCTGAGGGGGCGTCTGGCCTCCGAGAGTCGTGACCTCTGAGCAGTGTGACCCTCAGAGTGGGGACACACGGAAGAGGGTGGGGGCAAGCGGGGAATCTGGCAACCCCACTGACCCCACAAGAGGGCCTGCCCCGGGGTCTCTCCACAGCACCCCTCTCCCGGGAAGTCCCCACGCTCGCTGCCGGCCGGGGCCTCCCAGGCCATGTGACCCTGCCCACCCCCTGCGCCCAGCTCCTCCCAGGCGAGCTGTGTGGCCGCCTCCCCGGCCCTGCACGCGGGACCAAGTCGGCGCCCAGCCCGGCCAGCGGCTCCTCCGGTCGCTCATCAGCGGCCAGAAGGCCAGGAGGCCAGGGAGGGCTCCCAACAGAGCCCCGGCCCAGGCCCCGCCGTGAGGGGGCGCCCCTGGGTCACCCGCCACCTGTGGGTGAAGGGCGGCCCCGGACGGGCGCCCTCCGTGGGCCTCCTGGCTCCGGCCCCGAGCTCGCCGGTGAGACCCGCACTTGCCGTCTTCATCTTAGTTTGCGTTGTCTCCTTAATGGCGGCGTCAAACAATAGGGCCTTTGTTCTCATCCAGTGGGAACGACAGAAAATCACTGGATTGATCCTCGGTGGGCGCTGAGCCCGTGAACTCCGCCCCGCCCGCCACCGTGAACTCCCGCACCGCTGGAGCCTGGCTATCCATCAGACGGGCAGCCGGGCAGCCGGGCGGTGGTCCCAGGCTCAGCGTGGCTTCCACCCCCGAGGGCTGGACGCTGAACGGGCGGGGTGGTCCAGACCCCAGCGGGGGCTGTGGGGGAAGGAGAGCCTGCCTGAGCCCAGACAGCTGCCCCACGAGAAGAGGTGGGTGGGGGCGGTCCTGGGGTCGGGGGTCCCCTTTTTCCCACCTGCAACATCGAGGACGCTGGGTGATGCCCTTCCTGCCCATCAGTGTGAGCATGGAGACGGCAGGAGGCCAGCGGAGGGCGTCCCCAGGGGCACGAGCCAGCACACTGGGCGCCGAGGGTGGGCATTGCAGAGGGCGCAAAGGGCAACAACGCGCGAGGAAGGTCGGAAGGTCAGCCTGGCCCCGGCTGTGTCCCTCTGCCGGGCCCTGCCTGGAGGGAGAGCAGCCCCATGCGGGACGGCGCCCATCAGGGTCCAGCCAACAGGCCAGGCTGAGGCCCCGGAGGGAGGGGCAGGGCAGGGGGCCCGCGGGGAGCGTGGACCCGAGCCTCTCGCTGCCGAGGCCCCCGGAGCACCCGCCCCTCTGCCTGGCTCCTGGTCTCAGCCGCTCACGGCCCCCAGAAAGGATACAGGCTGGCACGACACCCCAGAAATATGGAGTGGCTCTGACACGCGCCGCTCAGCGCCTGCAGAATCCCCGCTCACAGGGCTCAGGGTCTGGGGGAGTGGGGAGGCCCCTCGGAGACGGGGAGGACCCCCTCTGGTTCTGAGGCTGAGACTGCGTGGTCAGCCATCAGGTGTGCAACCCCCCCACCGGAGCCCAGGAAGTGGCTCCTAGGCCGATCGCGGGACTCGAGACCCAGCGGCCTGAACAGTGTCCGGTGACCCAGCCCTCCGAGCAGACGGGCCGGCCATAGGCGTCTGCGCCGTCGCCCTTGTCCCAGGCCTGGAGGCTGAAGGTGAGGGCAGGTAGGGGTGAAGGGGTGAAGGGCAGGGGTGGGGGCACTGGGGGAGGACACAGCGGGGACTCGGGCGGGGGCTGGCAGTCCTCCAAGCACATCAGGCCACGAGAGGGGCCAGCGTTTCCCTGGTGGTCCCCGAGTCCCCGCCCCCACACACCAGAGCTGGCTTGGCCTGGCCCCTGCCCTCCCAGAGCGGTGATGTCACTAGGAGCCCGGGGCTGTCACCAGCCAGTCCTCAGGGACAGCGGCCCAGGACCGATTCCTGTCCGAGCCCCGCGGCAGGCAGGGAGGCCGTGAGGAGGGGCGCTAAGCCAAGGCCCTCCCACACCCTCCCCCCGGGGAGCAAGGCGGACAGGCGCACCAGGTGGACCCCAGTTCCACACCACCCAGCGCCCCGCGAAGGCCCCGAGGCCAGCGGCCCAGAGCCTTCCCGTCCGATCGCCCGCCACCGCCTGAGCCCTGCGGCCCCAGACCCGGCCCTGAGCCCGGGACGCGGAGGAAGAGGCGCCCCGAGGGGGCGTACCTACCGCAGTAGCGGCTCGGCTCCCGGCAGTAGCGCAGGATGGGCAGCGCGTCCACCCCCGGCGGCTCCGGGGAGGGTGCGGGGTCCGCGTCGGGGCCCTGGCCGGAGCTGGAGCTTTGACCGCCGTCGCCCCCGGGCCTGGGACCCGCGTCCCCCGCCCCGCCCGCCGCGGGCGTCACCACGAAGCGCTGGGACATGGTGGCCCCAGTAGCAGCCCCGGCCTCCGGGTGCCGGCGCTGAAAAGACGGCGAGGGCGCGGGCGGGGCCCGGGGTGGGGAGGCTGGGGCGGGGCCGAGAGGGGCGGGGCCGGACGGGCTGCACCCGAGAGGCCAACGGACCCTGGGCGCCCGGGACCCAGGACGGCGGGGTGGGGGCGCCCGGGGCCGGGCGGGCGGGGCGGCCTGGAGCGCAGAGCGGGGCGCGGGCACCGCGGAAAGCCGTCGGGCCGTGGGCAGAGGCTGTGCCCACCTTCGCAGAGCGCCCCTGCGTGCCCCAAGACGCAGAAACCTTGTTCTGGAAGCCAGTACAGTCTCTTCAGAAGAGCGCAGCCGCGGGGGTCTCCTTAAAAAACCTCGGAGACCCCACCCCAGGCGCCAGGGTTCAGCTCGCCAGGGCTGGTCTACAGAGAGACAGGCCGGGGACGCTGGAGGTCCGGCTTTGGTATGGGGAGTGTGGCCACCCTAGAGGCAGCCGGTGGCCTGGGGACCTTGAGAATGCCCACTGAGGGCCAGGACCAAAGATTCCCCAGTAACCGAGGGTGGAGGCCTCCCACGGGGAGACTCTGGGGCCAGACCCTGGCCTGGCGTTTCCCACCTGCTGCTCTGGCCTCTTGGCCACCAGGGTCCAGTCATTCAACCCAGGAGGTCAGGCAGGTGGCCTCCCTCGGAATTCTACCTGGCAGAAGCCCCAGGAGGGCAGGACGGCTGAGGTGGGGCTGGGGAGGCAAGGGGGCCCTGGGTAAGAACCAGCCCCCTCTGTCCTTGGGTGTCCACGGCAGGGCCCCCAGGGGTGCTGCAGTTTGCTTTCCCTCCACGTCTCAGGTTCATCCCCCAGCACCTCCCTTTTACATGTGCGGCACTTCACACATTCGTTCATTCACTGAATGTGTATTGGTGCCTAGCAGAGCCCGGCCCTGGGATGACGCAAGGAGGCAGGAGTCCCTGCAGCTCTGAAGCCTGAGTTCCATATGAGAGGCAGTGACAAGAGCTGAGTAAGAGAGAGAAGGGGTCTGGGGGTGAGATTTTAAATGGGATGTTGGGGGCAGTGCCAGAGATGGTGACATTCAAGCAGTGACTTGAAGGAGGCTGGTGTTTAGCAGTGTAATAGCTTCCAAACATTCACCTCATGATCCATCATAGCTGTTCTTAGTCCAACCCTCACATCTGTATTCCAGTATTAGAGGGAGGGAACAGTGGAAGGGACAATTACCACCCGTCCCCAGAACATGGCCCAGAAGCCACACACAGCATCATTAGCCAGAATGTGGCCATGTGGCCACAGCTGCCTGTTGAGAAGACTGGGACATGGACTGGCCAGCGTTTGGAGCTCTGCTAACGAGGGAAGAGGAGAAGGAGGGTTAGAGGACCCCCGGAGCATGGGGGAGGGGTGAGAGCTGTGGGTGAAGACTGCCCTCTTGCACCTACCCTCTCGTTATCTCCCCCACCTCCAACCACATAGCGGCAGAGAGGGTGAGCGGAGCCCTGCACGCACACCTGTGGGCACGCCCGGCCTCTCCCACCTCGCTCCCGCTCACACCTGCGGGCACACCCGGCCTCTCCCACCTCGCTCCCGCTCACACCTGCGGGCACACCCGGCCTCTCCCACCTCGCTCCCGCTCAGCCTTCCTGGCTTTCTCTAGGTGCCCAGGAGGCCCTCCTGGCAGCAGTGGGGTCTCCACGGACCCTCTGTTCTCCGTGACTCCCTGGGGTGCCAGTCCTGCCTCCACCCCCCACTCTCCAGTATTCTCTAGGCCATTTTCACCCTTCAATCTTTTCCCCTCAAGACAAATGTTTGAATTGTGGAAAGTTTTCCCCCAAGTGCCTTCATGTTTTGATTGAAAAGGCATTCAGTCTAAAAGTAAATTTGTCCAAAACTGTGTTTAAGGTGTCTAATCTTTCCATCCAGGTCCCACAAGTCTTTCTTTTATGTTAATTCACGCATGTTCACATTTTTTTGTTGCTACTGTAATGGATCTTATAATTATGCTGAAATGTAAAAACCAAAACAAGACAAACATTACTGGCTGTTGTGTATTTGTTTTGTAACCTGCCACCTCCCAGAACTCTAAATTCCATTATTCACTTATTTCCCCAGTTTCCTCTGTGGTTTTCAGGGATTTTTTTTTTTTAACCTGTAAAGAATGATAGCTTTGTCTTTCTTTGTTGCTTTTACTTCTTCTGTTTTCTTCCCTCCTTTTGTTCTTGTTTTGGAATTTTCTAGAAATTCTGGGGAAATATGAAATAATGTGTTTTCCAGAACTGAAAAGGGAACAGCCCTGGAGGTCATCAGCCGCCATCAGAAGCGCCCAGCTGAGAAAAGACCACCGAGCCGTCCTCCGCGCTGACACTCCACCCTGAGACCACAGGCGGCCGTGGGCAGGATTGACCCAGGAGGCCTTCTCTTCCGTCTGTCCAGGGCCCTCAGGTGAGGGGCGCTCCCGACCTCGGCCTGAGGGCAGCCTGTGCCCGCAGCCTTGCCTCTGCAATGCCCGCAGCGGCCTGGCCCAGCCAGGCTCCCTGTCTGCAGTCCTGGAAATCTGGAAGTCTCCGGGGCCACGCTGACCTCGGCGGGTGGACCTCAGGTGAACAGGTCCTCTGCATCCCCCAGGCCCTCAGTCCCATGTGGGCAGGGTCTGGCTTCTGAGGATGAGCAGGGAAATGGAAACGGACAGTTGCAAAGCAGACATTAACAGTGGCATCCTGGTCACACAAGCGTCTGAGGGGAGCACTCATGCACCCGCAGCCTAACTTCCAGAAGCCAAGTCTCCAGGCGGCAGGTGTGGAGACGCTTGGGCTCTTCAAGGGACTTGAAAGGCAAGTTTCAGAGTGATTTGTGGACAGAAGGTGATGGGCTGGGCCTGGGAGGGGGGCTCTGGGCGTCCGCGGGGGTCAGGGTGCCGTCGGCCGTCTGAACAGGAGCCCCACTGCTCTCCTGACCGTGTGGCAGTCACTCCGGAGCTCAGGCGGCACTGGCCTCTCTGACGGGAGTGCCCCTCCTCGGCGTGTCCCGCTGGCCCTGCCAGGGCGGCCACAGGGTCAGGCTGAGGAGGGCCACCGGGGGCTGTGGTCCACGCTGGCCCAGGGGCCCCACCGTCACCTGGAACTGCCCAGAGGCCCCGCTGCACCGGAGGGGAGGGACCATTGTCATCCGAGCAGAGGAGCTGACAGCCTGGGCGGTGGCCTGTCTCCAGGTCCCATCTGGACGGCCTGGGCCCTTTGGAGCCATCCTCGAAGACGACTTGCGTGTGCACACGCGCACGTGCACACACACACACACACAAGGCACCTGGGGGCTTCATTCCATTGCCAGGGAGGCCCAGGGTCAGAGGCCTGAGCTGTCACTCCAGGGGTCTGGGCTCTGTCTGGTGGGAGACCGCAGGGGGCTTGTCACTGACCTGGAGGCCGCACCCCTCCCCATGAGCGGGTCCTGTGAGCACCTCAAGAAGGAGAGCGTCTCCTTGGAAGCAGGCTCCCAGGGAGAGAGGGCTGTGGCGTGAGCAGAGGCTGGTGGGGGAACAGAAACCGAGATCCAGAGAGCAAGATGGCGAGGCGGGGGGCAGGACCGTTGGCCTCCTGCTGCCCCAAGCCGGCGGGCCTGCACGGCTGCGCTCGGGCCTCGGGACCCCTCTGGGCTGTCGTGGGGCTGACCTGCCTTCGGAGATGCAGACAGGACGGCAGGGGAGGAGGTGAGGGGCCTGCAGAGCCGTGGGGTTGGGGGGCTGCCCCCAGCACGTGAGGCAAATCCTGAGCACCCGAGAGCACCCACGGGGCTGGCCAGAGAAGGGGCTGAGCCTCCCCGCGGAGGTGCCCCCTGTGGTGGAGGGCTGGTCCCGGGGGCTTCTGAGGTTTCAGGCTCAGACGACCTCCGCCCGCGCGTCTCCAGTCATCTCACCGCTGACCAGGGCTTTCGATTTTGTTCTGCCTGTGACTGTATCTATAAATGCGGGTGGAAAGAGCCTGCCGGCTCGGGCCTGGGCAGTGGGCTGAGCTGGGTCAAGTCCCAGCTGCCTGGAGGGGAACGGCGTACCTGCACCCCAGGGCCCAGGAGCAGCTGGAGAGTCTGGGGTGGCGGGAAGCCTTCAGGAGTGTCCCTGACCCGTCCCCACGGGCAGCCACGAGGTCAGATGGGGCTACAGAGGCTGGGAGGAGCCCCCTGGCCATATCCCTCCTGGGGGCAGCGAGGAGGAGGCGGTGCAGCTGGGGGTCCTCGCTGGGGACCAGGAGCCACTGCAGGAGCCGGGCCATCACAGGCACTCCCCTGCGGCCCTTTTCTGCAGGGATCTGACCATGCTAGGTCTTGGGCTCAGCCGTGTCCACCCCATCCGTGTCATCCTGAACGAGACCCAGCATCCCAGGGTTTCACCTGCGAGCATCCAGACAGCTTTGTATTTAGTAAACCCCATCCCTCCCTCCGGGGACTCAAGCCTGATGCTCTCTAGATGCCCAAGACCAGCCCCACCTGCAAGAGGTGCAGTCCCTGCAGGGGTGGGGGGCGGGAGGGAGGGGGCACGGGTCCTCCTGCTCTGCAGGTGGGTCCCTTGCAGCCTCTGCCTTCTAGGGTCCCTCATTCCAGTCTTCTGAGCCAAGGGTCCGGGAGCCGCTCTTCTCCCAGGAACACTTAAGTTCACAGGGGAGTGAAAAGGCATCATAACAGCCGTGTGCTGATAATGAGCAGGGCGGCTCCTCAAGTGCCCTGAACTACAGGCAGTTCGGAAACTGTGGCAGGAAGTGGTCCGTCCTCTCCAACAGATTTGTCTGCCATCCTAATGCTCCTCTAAAAATAAAGCCCACGAGTTACAACAGCAAGTGGAAGGGGGAGCACGAGCATCCTGCGTCTGCGGGAAGGCCTCCCCTGGCAGGGGCAGGGTCCCACCTGAGCCGAGACCCCTGTGTGCACGTGGGGCATGGTGCGTTGGGCCCGGTGGCCCGAGGCACCCGCCCTGCAGCCCTGCCAGGGCCCGAGGGCCCGTGGCCTCCCT